TTATTCTCACTTTAATGAAAAATTAATGGATTTCGTTAATTTAGGGATTAAAGCCAAAAGGAATAATACAGAACTAGAAAAAAAAAAAAAAGGAATTGGTCTCACTAGGTGGACAAAAAATTAATAAACAAAAGTTAAACATTTGATTGTTGATCAATTAACTGTCAGAGTTAATAGAAATGTGGATGACATCCAATTAAGGATGACATTGAACAAAAAAAAATGTGTACTAGAGGGATGACATTTATGCTCTAAGGAAAGTAGAGGGATGATATTGAACATTTCCTTAGTAGAGGAATGGTAATGAACATTTTTACAAAGTATGAGAACTAAAGTTGGCTTTAATCCAAAGTCAGTCACACCGGCTTTGATTTGCTATCTATCTTTACCTTCTTCTTCATAAGCGAAAATTGGAGAGGTGTATTTGTCTTCTTCTTCGAAATACCTCGGAGATCAAGGTCGACCTCATGGTGTTTGTCCTCCTCAAAGGCACAGAAGCTCTAGACGCCTTAACATATTGTTGATATGATTCTAAAGCAATGGAATATTGCTATATTACGAGAGTTTTTGTTGGATGAGAAATAGTTAAGTTTTGTTTTAGAAGTGCAGACGGGGAGGTAACGTGTGAAAATTAGTTATGTGAGTTTCAATACAAAATTTACATTTAATTTAAATTTAATTAACAATAAATAGAATAATCAAGATATTTAACTAACATATTTTTTTGTTACGTATTCAATGTGGAGTTTTCATATTCAACAACTTGACAAGACAACGTGTTAAATGGAAAAACTTCACATTAAGCATATAACAAAAATATATATAGTTTAAATATAAGGAGAGTTATTTTATACATTACTAATTAATTTTAAGTTAAATGCAAATATTATGTTGAAACCTACATGTTTAATTTTCATACAATAGTGTTGGCACCAGCCACCACCATTATGCGAGCAAAATTTGTGAAAGCACTCAATCAAAAGTCACTTTGAGCAATATTGTTTTGAACTTCTTGATTGAAAATCGGTGCTAAAACCCAGTTGCTTTGACAATTTCGGATCTTTAGATCCATGTGTTTTCAAATGTGTTTTCAAAGGAAAACAACTTCTTGAAAAAAATCCTAGAAGTTGATTTCCCAGAAAACCAATGGTATTTTTTGTCGACTAGTTTTCAAGATGACTCTCAAGGACAAGAAAATGGAGAAAACGAATTTTGGAAATAAGTTTCCATGAACCAAATGGACCCCGAAGGTTGTTGAATCACTCCCTTAACAAAGGGAACTAAGGATCATTGTTCTCAAAACCAAATTGAAGGTTAATCCATTTTGACCTTCAGTTCACAATTTTGACAGTTTAACTGGTTAAAAAAATCAAGTTGATTAAATTTTGAAGGTATATATTAAATATAATATAATGTAATTTATTCCAAAGAATTAGTAGTGGCTCTAGTGCTTAGGAACCCTTATTTATGTTGAGGAGAACTTGTGTTCGAGTCTAATAAGGTTTAAATTTATTCAATTTATATAATTCTATTATAATAAATACATCTTAATACATCGAGAGACAACAATTTGGTTTAGATTGAGTGGCAGAAATCATTTAAAGCATTTAAGAGAGTCACTGTTCAAATCTTATGAAAGTCACTTGAGTTTTTCCTTTAAAATCTTTGTAATATTCTTTAAAATATATTGTTTGCAACTTGCTTCACTAAGATGCTCTAGTGGCAAATGACTTGCCAACCTCTTGTGAGGTCTAGTGTTCGAAACCTAGAAGAGAAAAGGCTTGAAGAATTTTGTCCAAGAGGTTGGCTTGGTTGGTTGGACGAGTTATCAGTTCTCATTGGTTTGGATAGTTTGAGTAGTTTTAAGTGGTTCCATCTCTTAAACAGTTTTAGATACTCACCCAAAATTTATACTATTAGGTGTAATTGAGTCCAATTTTCAAAATAGTGCTAAGGATAGTAGCTAATGTTTGCATGGAAATGAAAAGTCAAGCAATGTGTGCTTGAGTATTGGAATTTGTCTGAGATTGCTTGAAGATCGGTACTCGAATGCTAAACTAGAATGATGTTAGAAATATGGTCTAGAGTCCTTGCAATTGTGCTTCTATGTCTCCATTAGAAACTCGGAGAGAACGAAAGAAGCCATGATTGCAAAAGAAACTCTAATTAAAAATTCAAAAAAGAGAAAAAAATAAAACAACATAATAGCTACACAAAATTTTATGCCTCCCATGTGAAGAGTTTTGTCACTTTGGATAACATATCATATTAGGCCTTCATGATAAGATTTGTTATAAGATTTAAGAATGTGAGAATACTACATCAACCATTTAGTAATGTAGTGGCAATTATTGTCTTTTATTTGTCATAAATTGATTAGTAAATTAAAATGAATTAATTATTTTAATTACAAATATAGTTATTGCTACATTATTAAACTGAGATATTGTTGACTTGCTAACCTATTGTATAGAAGAATTTCTTAATGCGAATAGTCTTTAATAGAGCAAAAGATCAACCATAATGGAGACAAAGCCCAAATAGGCCAAGTTTGCCCAACCCACAAAGCATAAATTCCACCCCACCATGGCTAAAGTAGATACTCCACTAGCAAGTTGAAAAGAATTATCTACATTAACCTTTAAAAAACCAAAGGAGGCATGAGAACAGATAGACCATTGGTGTGACCATCTTTACACTAGACAAGTAGTGGGATCAAATAAATCCACACATGGGGCATTACAATG